AGCGCTTGCTAGGAGTAATCCTCCGTTAACACCATTATTATTATTATTATTATTATTATTATTATTATTATTATTATTATTATTATTATTATTATTATTATTATGAGTAATCCTCCGTTCATTTTGTAGATCTGCTGTCCAGTCTCGTCGAAGACAGTCGCAAAGAGTCCAGCCTGGTAGCATCACCGCGCACGCGCCTCTCTCTTACGCGCTTTTGCATCACTATCCAGCGGCCAGAATTGGCAAGGAAAGTGAGGAAAATGAGGGGGGGGGGAGGAAAAGGAATCAGGAAAAGTAGGGTTTAGGACTCTTCACAGTGGTTGGACTAGCCCTTGTGAAGCAGACGAACTCGTTTTGTTGGAACAAATTTCACATGAGATTGTCCGGGATTCGACGAGAATCGAACCCGGACCCTCTAAGTCGTGAAAGGCGAGCGACTTCGCTCTGAGCAACCGAGCCAGCTAGAGCTTTAATTGATGTTCGTTGCTTGGTCAACACTAGTGCTGCGACATCGATAACAAAACATCCATGTTAAAAATTAAAACATCGATGTTAAAAAATTCATCGATTAAAAACCATTGTTAGTAGACTATATCTCAATGTGCGAAATGAATATGAAGAAAGAGATAATACGAGCGCATTAGGGTAATCTTGGACGAGAGAGTTTGGTCGAGGTAGTGCAAACATCGTTCCTTCGGTTCCAATCCATGATTACTATCAGTTATTATTACATATTTTAATTTTACAATATTGTGATTGTAGCGTCGTGCCACGCTCAAACCGCCGGTTGTTGAATAAAGGGCGGAGTGATGACGCACTGGGACTTTCCGTGGACGTAGCGGGCCCAGAGCGACTTTGGGGAGGAGGCAATGGGGGCGGCGGGTGGAGCCAAAATGGCCTATATAAGGCCAGGAGAACAATGCCCCAGTCTTCTTGTTCTAGCGGCGTCGGCGACAGGTGAAGCGCGTGTCTGTGCGTGTAGGTGCACTAGGGCGAGGGTCCGGCAATTCATTGTCGTGACTTGAGAGACGCGTCGATGGTCTCAACGTAGAGCGGCTTCATACAGGGAACATCGGTAGTATGTTGCGGTGTGGTAGACGTTCTTAAATTATCTCTCCTTGTAGTGGGTCTATTTATTTCGTTTATTGTGAGCAGGGTAGTTGTTAAATTGAGACTACGGTCTAGACTGTTAATAAATCTACTGTTTTACAAACCACTCTCGTCAGTGTTCGATTACACCCGTATGACGCCACAGTGATCATGGGAATTTTTCATTCGGAAACAAAACATTGCATAAGAAAAAAACATCGGTGTTAATACATTGATGTTTTTACAAAAACATGGATGTTTTGAAAACATTGGTGTCGCACCTCTAGTCGACAGGCGATAAATATCAGCTATGTCTGAGCGCGATGAATATCACTGTTTGTGGAAGTTTTGTTTCCAAATCCGAATTTGATATAAGGCCCGAAATATCAATAAGAATGCCATTCCTTATTTATTATCCGAACCACAAACCTGCATACATTTTTTTTCTCTTATTCCATTATTTTATTTTTGCTTAGGTAATAAAACTGCAGGATAAAGTTTATGATTTAATATTGATTCTTTCTTTGACTGAGTCTTTTGATTGTTTGAAATATTGGAACTATTTTTGATATTGCAAAGTACCATATTATTTCCAGCGGTGGGATTAAGTAATACATAGAAGCTATTTGCTGGTTGCAATGTTTTCACTGTAGTTTTGCATCGTGTTATGATATTGATTTGAATGTGAGCTGGTAAAATGGAGTTACTGCATCATTATAATTTCTACAGCTGTAATATTAGGACTCACAATAATAAAATTATGACATTTTGGAGATAAAATCATCAAAGGAAATTTCCAAGAGACTTGGTCTTTTGTAATTGTTCCTTTCGATGTTGCACTCAAAATGAAAAGAAGTTAAAATATTTTGGAAATAACACATTAGACCCATTCAAAATGCATTACTTCTGTTATGGGTGTGCTCTCTGTTAGGTACAATAATGAGCTATAGAGAAAGGTGAGGTTCATTTAAAATTCTACCACTAACTGAATTTATCATTCCTCTTACAATTTCAATTCCATTTGCCCATTGCCCATTTTAGATACTGTGGACCTCCAAGCACAAAACGTTATTGGGCACTCGTTCAGAAAAAAATCTTTGATTAGCAAAGAACACTTATTTTTATAGAAATTAATTAAAACACTAATTATTATAGCATAAATCCTAATTCTAAAAACACTCATTATGATAGAATAAGTCTTAGTACAAAAGCAGATGTAAATTAATAAATTGCTTACAAAGTGGAAATTATATTTTTAATTTCTCATTTACAATTACATATTTAGTTCCTTTTTGTTACATTCAATTTGTTTTTAAATTCGAACGTTGTAGTTCAGTATACCATTTTATTAACAGTTATGGTTCAAATAAAAACATTTAAAGAAGTTTTAAGAATATTTATTTTAAAAAATTCTAGCTTAGAAATGGGAGGCCAAAAACTTCTTTGCTAGTAGAGAGATCTATTTATTTATTTAGATTCATTTAGTAAAAAAACAGTAAAAACTGTGTGTGACGTATGGGGAAGAAAATAATCTGTGCACGTTTTCTTAAGTTCCAGAATCCCTTCCCATTCATTTAACTATAAATTGTTGAAAGATGAGTAAAAGTTAAAGATTAATAAATAAAAATAAAATTTAAAAAAAGCGCAAGAAAAAAAAATAGCATCTTGCCCTTACCTCTATTCCTACCTCTACAAGCAGAAGGAGAGTTCAACAAAACGTGCGCATAGGTGAAGCTACATTTATGTCAAGAAACAAAACAAAGGGCCATCTCAGCATTTGTTAAATAGATCATGGAAACTGTACAAAAACCTGGTCGAGATGGGTGTCACTGACCCGGAAGCTGAGGTACATTATTTGTTACAAGCATATTAAGTCTGTATTAAAAAAAATATACAATTCAAATTTAAACTTATTACAGTTTTGTTAAATAAACATTATTTTTCTTTCTGTTGATCAGTAAAGTCTGTAATTGTATAGAATCAGTTATGCGGCAGAAAAGATTTTACTTTTAACTTAAATTTGTGTGCTGACTTCAGTTGTTTAACGTCATCTGGCAATGCGTTGTACATGTATTGTATGTGGATTTCTGGTAGTGAGCTGTTGATACTGCTCTGTATTTTCCTATTCCTTGAATGGTTGATGTTATAACCAGCATAAAAGTATTTTATTATTCAACACATTCGATGCCAGTGAAAAGTGTATTTCTAATACCTTAGTAATTTGAATGCCTATCCATGTAGCTCTACTGATTGAGGTGCTAACCTTTGCTAAGGATTCCTCCTTTGAGTGTATCATATTTTACAACAGTGGTGTGGAAGACAATGGCAATCCACTGTGTATCCCGTGTAGTAAAAAGGGGAATACAAATAATTTTTGAATAATTAATCATTGTTATGGTACAAAACACAGAAAGTTGACATCCGGCACAATACGAAATAATAATGCTCCACTGAGTGTACAAATGTACTGAAATGTATAAAAAATTTTGTAACTTCTCAAGATCACTCATTTGCTCATAGAGAGTAGTAATAAAGTGATTAATTTGGAATAATAATTGAACTGATATTTTCATTCAGATCGCACAAATAATTATATTCATCAAATTTCAGCCTTGTTGAATATCTGGTTGAATATCAGAGCCCCAAACCTCTAGAAATTGTGCGAACGTCTCCTTTTGGGCTGATTTAGGCCTATGATTTTGCAGAATTCTCCTGTTTGAAACGGTAGATATTCAAATTGCTCATAATTATTATTTGCGGCGCTAACTACCCAAGGAAGAGTTTTTGAAACATTATCAACAGTTACATTTCTCACAATTTTAAAATTTCAGGTCGGCTCTGTAACGTTACCTTAAAACCCATATTAAAACGACAAACTTTAGTCTTATGATTCGACAATTAGACGGTGAAATCGAACTCTACTCTAAATAGTTCATGTACTTGACATTTTACCAAAACATAGAAGAATCTCTCATCTGTCGATGAACACAATATAAAAGGCATGTTAAACATAACATGTATCTCACTCTAAACACCTTAAAACGTTTCTCTGCCTACTTGGTTACGTTGTTTTGCTGGCGTATTGGTTACGACGTTGCACAGCACGACGGTTAGTCACGACTTTACGACATAGCGATCTCCAAATACCAAATCTGGCTTTGGACTAACTGCGAACTGATCGTGCCTTTTGGCGTATTGGAGTGACTGATGTTTATGTGGCCATTAGTCCCGTTCGTGTAATGAATACTTTATGTCTGAAGTTGGTTGCGTTCCTTCCTTCCTTGCGTGTAGGGTATTTCCTTTCGTCAGCTATCTCCCTCGGCGGGCACCACCAGTGTAGTGCATGTAAGTGGATGTGTGTAAGGGGAAAGGAGCAAGGAAGTGTAAGGGAAGCGGTAGGAAAGGGAAGGAAAGAGCGCGAGTCGACTGTGTACCGTTTATTATGGTACTGCTGCTGCATTCACCTTGTCGGAAAAACCATGTAAAATACCGAACAGCGCAGCTGACTGCTGGAATTTTCTTTCGGACGGGTACTGAACTCTATAATAGCTAGCATTGAAAATCCGCAAACCGTTGGGACTGGAACAAACTTATGACCTCCATGCCAGCAACTCTGAGACTGTGGTAATGCTTGACTCTGAGCTAAACTCGGCAGGTCATTATTCTATCCATCTATGTTATATTCGAACTTAGCGAGAATTGGATAGACTGAGCCCTTATGATTAAAGGTTTCTACACGACCCTGTCTGTTGTTATTATTATTATTATTATTATTATTATTATTATTATTATATTCATCTATGTAATATCTATTATTATTATTATTATTATTATTATTCTATCCATCTATGTAATATTCTGTTTCCGTGTAGCGGCACAACTGAATTTCTGAAACTGATTTTGTATTTTAGGAGCGCTTCAAAAGAAAATGTCATCAGAAATGAGTTATAAAGACATTGTGAAAGCTTCAAGTAACGATGCTTTAATGACATCGAAGCAGATAGAAAAGGACCTTTTGCGGACAATGCCTGGAAATGCCTGTTTTAGCAATATCACAAGCACCGGAATATCACGCCTTCGCCGCGTTTTAAGGGGCTTGGCATGGTTATATCCTGACATAGGGTAAACAATTAATTTAAATGGTTCCATTATCAGTACCACACTTCGATCAAACTTTTCCTTCCAACTGTGACAGTATTTTCTTGTGAATTTTTAGGTATTGCCAAGGAACTGGCATGATGGCAGCATCGTTACTTTTATTGATGGAAGAGGAAGACGCGTTTTGGATGATGAGTACTATAGTTGAAGATCTTCTTCCGGCATCGTATTATTCTTCCACATTAATAGGTAACATTTAAAATTTTAATTAAAAACTAAACAAACATTATTATATATATATATATATATAATCTGACAGTGGTATTCTCGACAATTATTAAACGTATTCGTGTTAAAGGACTCGTCGGACTCGTATTAAGGGCAATCAAACGTCATGTATTTTTTAAAACAATACATTGTGTCGGGAAACGTGTTTTTAGTTAATCTTGCCCTATAAAAATAGTTTTCAAACATACTTGTTGTTTGATTGTCTTTAATATTCGAGAATACCTCTGTCGTAAACGTAGGTTAGTCAGAAAGTAATGCCTCAATTTTGTCCTACTTATATAAAATGAGTTAAGTGAAAAATATGAATTTGGCAATATTCCTCTAATCATCATCTTCAATCCATTGCAGTGTTAACTTTCTGCGTCATGTGGCAGCACAGCAGTTATGTGCAAAATGAATGATATTGACATTCGTATGACACATTGACGAGCGTTGTGATTGCATAAGGTTCGCATTCAGGAATAGCTGAAAAATGTGCACGGTGTCACAGAGGATGTCAGCAAGATGAGTTCGTCGATGTTAACGAAGCTGAAGGGCAAACACCACGGCTTAGGAAAAGGGGAGCGGCAGCTCGGTGATTGCAGTTACTCCGCGCAACATTCAGCTAGTTGATGACATCATTCGTGGTGACCGGCTGGATGACTGCAGATAAAGTGTGGGAGATAATGCGGCACAATTCATCCAACAGTGCACATACACTGTTGCATCACCGTACACATTTTTCAGTCGTTCACGAATGCGAATGGACATTGCACCTTTTGCATTCAAGAATTCAATCATACAACGCATTCTCAAACAAACATCGATGTCGGCCATTTTGCAAACTACTGCTGTGCTGCCAAATGTTGAGTCAGAAAGTTACTACGGTGGATTGTAGAACAAGGTTTTAGGAATAATGCCAAATTCCAATTTTTTACTTAACTAATTTTATTGAGGTAAAAAAGTAGGTTTTATTTAAGTAATTTTATTTGTAACTTAAACAGTTTTCATTGAAAATTCTATTTTGATCACTTTTAAATCCACTGAGTACTTTTTTGTACATGTCTATGCATTTAATTATTACGAAGGGGGAAGTGTGATTTTTTTTGTTCCTTTGCTATTTGACTCCTGTTCTCAAATATTGTCTTATATGACAATATTATTGACATATGTGCAAGACCGGAATAACCATTGCAGGGGCCCCGGAGCAGTCTTCCTATAATTCTTTAAAACGCTTATAATAGAGTCTACTCCAATTTTCAATCATGATTTTTGGTTATCAAGTTTGAAAAGAATGTCAATTTAATTTGTTTGACAGAAAATAAAGCAAAACAATATTTGTTTAGAACTAATTTAGATGTGAATTTTCGTTTCATAGAGGTTCATTCACGGATCAAAATTAAGCAATCTTTCAAAAGCTGTTGCTGTCATTAGTCATAACATTTTACTTTCAAAATTACCTTTGTATGTTTGATATCGCTCTAGATTGGTTATGTTCGTACCTTAAACAACCGTATCTGAGAGTTGAAATATCGTACTGGAATGATGCGACATTATTTTACTCACCTTTCCGAGCCATTGCCCATTGCTCATGGTATCCCACAGGGTTCGATTTTAGGCTCTCTCGCTTCCTGCGTGTAAACGATATCCCCTCGACGAATCGAAACGAAAGAACAGTTCTCTTGGGAATGCCACGAATGTTCTTTGCAAAAAATAATTGGTCAAGTATACAATATCAGAAGTTTCAATTTGGTTTCGTAGTAGCAAATCAGTGGTAGAGGTAAATAAAACTGTTTCAGGAAAGTGTTCCATTTCAAATAAATAATAATATTCTCCATTGAAAACGATGTGCAATTAACTGATGTTAAGGCAACAAAATGATTGGTCTTTAAAGTTAGCCAAACCTGAAATGGAATTGGCAGTTCTATGAATTGAACACAAAATTAATATTATAAATATGATAAATTTATTTAAACTGCAAATGAATGTGAACCGGCGGCAGTTAATTACACATGGTGAAACATCCTGTAGCTTCTAGAATTGTAGATTACAAAAAAAGATAGTTCGAATAATTGGCAAACTTCATCCACGCGATTCTTGTAAGCCTATCCTTATTAAGCTGGGAATTGTACCACTACCTTGCCCCTTGATTTATTGATCGGTGGTTTTTGTAGAAAATGACGTATTGGATGGGGGGACGTTTTTTCAGCTAATATCGATGTCTATACTTACAACACTAGACGTAGTAATCATGTTCATCATGAGTATTCACGTTGATGCAATCCGTAAGCATGACATACATTGCGAGGAAGAATATGATTTCTCCCAAGAATTTGCTTTACGAGCAAAGTAACATCGATGTGATTAATGAGCAATATTTATTGCTTTGAGCGTTTCATTCAGGGCCTAGAGAAAATTCTAATTTCTAAGATTTATAAAATAGATTTTGAGGGACACGCGCGCGATGTTGCTGACCCTTATTTTAATTTTAAGTAACTTAATATAATTATAATTATAGTTTTAATTGTAATTTACTATTGAAAATAATTTTGTACGAACTTTTATTTAATGTATGATAATTTGACAATTACTTGTAAGCACTATAGGCACTCTGGTTATGAAGTTGCAGATTTTTACAATAGGAACGTCGCGATACGGCGTGTAGTTCACAGAGTAATCTCTCATTGTCAGGCGGTGTTTCGAGAAGTGTGTTTTTTGTGGAAGAAGGTGATATTGACAACTAGGACATCGTGGATGTAAATAGTGGATTTAAATGTTGTATATCTGGTGTTAAGGAGGTGAAAAGTGAAAGAAGGCTGTCATTCGAATCTTGGGGAGGGGGGAATTACGTTTATTATCACGAGCGGATCAAGAGACAAGATTTTGGGAGGGGAAATTCAAAATGTCGAATGTGTCATATTACAGATTTTGTTAATTGTCGCAAGCTTTACTCATCTCATGTTGCGATACTATTTTATACTTTTAATGATTATCCGAAACTATTTTTGCTAAAGTTTTGTGACAAGTTAAAGTTAATAGTTACTGAAAATTTTAGGAGGGGATTTATCGCATGAAACTATTTGCGGGGAGATTGTCCGTAGTAAGTTGTTCCGAACCCGAGTTTTTCGATCCAGGCTTCTTTGGAAGCCTACTCCTGATGCGGATCTGGGGACCTTTATCGAGAAGGCGCACCTGGCCGTCGTTCCCATAAGTGCGCATGGGATTTGACTATCATGTTCTCCGCCCTTAGTCGGTCTCAGTTAACCGTATCCAAACTGTCTGGTTGGGAGAAAGTGAGATCTCGTTAGATGAAGGTATATTTATTTAAACTGCAATTGGGTGTTTCCCGGTGGCAGTGAATTACACAAATAACACAATGCAACATGCAAATTATATAATAATAATGGTACAAAAATAATCATAGTAACACAAGTAACAAATTATAAAACTAACAATAATGATAATAATATAATAAGACTAAATATTATTACTACTTCTACCAATACTACTATTATCACTACTACTATCTCTACCAATACTACTATTATCACTACTACTATCTCTACCAATACTACTATTACTACTAATATCACTACCACCACCCCCACTACCACTACTAGTCCTTAGCTGTCCTACGCTGAATCCTATCCAAATTTTTACACTTCATAATATTGTGCGGTTCCCAAAAAAATTGTTCCATATTCCGTTATCGGATGAACAGGCTATAAATAAGCAATTTCTTTTGCATTTGCCGTACTCTTGAAGTTGCGCATTACAAAGTGAAGAGATCTCCAGGCTTTCCCTACAACAAAATCTACGGGATTTCCAGCTTAATTGACTATCGAAAAATATTCGTATGTGCTTGCGTGTGGAAAGTGTCGGAACAATGTCGTTATTTAAACTGTAATTTGTTTCTCTATACGAATGACCCCCGCCAAAAGTGGAGGATTTGCTTTTAGAGCTATTTATAGTCCTTCCATTATTTTCTGCCCTGTAATATAACGCATCATGATTCTGTTGCAACATTCCTTCGTCTTCTTTTCAATTCATACTACGATATATTATGCAATGTCTGCAAATAACCGAACATTTGAGAAGTGCACTGGCAGATTATTGACGAACGCTAGAAATAGAAGAGGCCAAACGCTTTCCCCGGAAGATAACTCTTGCCCATTTCGGACATTCTGTTTTTTGTCTCGCAGAAACTCGCTTACCCACGCCACCGCCTTGGAATCGTTGCCTGAATTCATTATGTGACGTCATGGATACTCACAGCGACCACAGACACAGAGCTTTCGTATAACAATATATTTATTAACAAAGAAAACAAAACAAATATATACACTTAATAATCTACTTAAACCCTAGCTCTGATAGACCTACTATCCCCTGATCGCGGGAGCGATCCAAAACCCGATTGAAGATGGTTTTGATTGTGGCATTCGCCACTCCTACTTTTGAAGCGCGCACAAAGCCTAGCTTCCGTGACCGGATGTCACGCTGGGACACAAAGTCCGTTCTGGCGCACCAACGGCTGGTTTGCCTCGATCGCAGGAGCGATCTTATCCGATTGAGAATCGGCGTGAATCGTGGCACTCAACCACTCTTCACCTCGGAGCACGCACACAGCATCGCTCCCCCGTGACCGCAGTCACCCAAGGACATAAAGTCCGCAGGCTTCGTCAACTAATGACTCCAGCCTCGCGAGCCTGGCTCGCATATGCACCGTCTTGGCGCAAAGTTTTGTGCACACGCACGAGGTTCTCCCACCGTCTCCAGAACCTGCCTACTGGCTCCGTACACGCTGTTATATAGGCGAGGCCCACGTGACCTCCTACGTCACGCCACCCCCTCGCTTGTTATAACAGTGAAAAGCGTCTATAAGCCGGAAGACACCCAAAGCCTTGTGTCTCCCGTCTCCGCGTTCTTCCCTTTACGGAAAAACCCTACTTCCTGTGGCGAGACTAATCCTGCCAAGCGTC